ATTCACCTTTCAGCGGCTAAGTACGCAGAGGAGCTAGGGAAGCGGTTCAACATTCCACCTGCACCGCTCTCCACTCCCTATCGAACCCCGGGACCGAATCACAAACCCGACAACAAAACCCTATCCCCTGCTGGAATTCAAACTTACCAGCAGCAGCTGGGATGCCTGCTCTTTGCCTCTGTCACATGCAGGCCTGACCTTTCCTACATCGCAAGTCAGCTGGCCCACTACTCACGCAAACCAACGGCTGAGAATCTTCTGGACCTGCAGCGCGCCCTACAGTTCTTCGTTTCAACGCCCAAGATCGGGCTGTGCTACTCAACCGCACCAACCCCATCCTTCAATCTCATCGGCTACGTGGACGCCGATCACGCAGCAGATCCCGACAATCGACGGTCGAGGACTGGCTTCTTGTTCCGACTCGAACCAACGGGACCAATCTCCTGGAATTCGCAGAAGCAGGAGCTGGTTGCCCTGTCATCAGCCGAAGCGGGATTCATCGCAGCAACCGCAGCAATTCGCGAAGGCCTCTACCTTCACAAACTTCTGCAGGAGGGGAAAATTCCAGCTTCGTCCGCTTTTCGTCTTCACTGCGATAACCAGAGCGCGATTCGCATCGCGAACAAACATGGTTTCGTCAACCGCACCAAGCACATTGCGCTGCGGTATTTCTTCGTGAAGGACGAAGTGGACAAAGGCAAGGTCAACCTGACCTACTGCTCGACTGGTGACATGGCAGCAGACTTTCTCACGAAGCGACTGCCACGCCAGCAGTATCAGCATTGCTCCGAAATCAGCGGAGTGGTCAAGCAGGTCAAGTCGAGCTGCGGCCAGGAGTGAAGGGGGGTGTTACGAATAGTAATGAATGAATGTTACAGTGCACTCCCGACCGCAGCTAAAGAAGCACGCAGTATCGAGAACGAATGTGAAGAGTCAGAGTTGACTCGAAACGTCAGACGGTTGGGATGCATCTGGACCGTCGGAAGCAGACGGCATCGGCAGCTGCAGGCAGGAGGGTTCTGGCGGGAACAGTTTTGTAACTGTACGCGCCGCACGGTTGGGAATGAATTTGAATAAGGGAATGTACCCCTTAGAGTACATGGCTAGCTAGGTCGATTCATCTTCCCTGTACTCATATTTATATTTGCTGTATTTGCATGTTCTAATCATCTCAAGCATTTTACATTCACTCTGCTATTGAGGCCAAGGGCCCACCACTAGACTAGAAGTGTGCGAACCTTCCTGAGGTGATCCTGGTTACGATCAACTTCTGATCGCAGCAATTGGGATTAAATTAGCGCATTTAATTAGACATTTAATTGACTTTTAATATGTATGAGTTTGTAATAATGATTCTCCCTTGCTGCAAACGGGAAATATAAGAATGTATGAATATTATTTATTACCGGCAGTTATATTGAATCACAATTGGCAGCTCACGACTAAAACCACTCAACACATTTCATCATTACAGTCTTACATCTTTGCTGTTTTAATGGTTGCACATTTCTTCAATCTTGTATTATATTGACCCCGTTTGAGCAATTTAGATCCACTTATGTGTTCCTCGTACGCGTCTAAAATCATTTCAGGTTCCTGCGATTGTGCGGGACTGGGAGTTGCGCAGAAGTTCGTTTTCGATAAACGAGAGCAGCACACAAGGCCAGCTGGACAACTTCCCGTTTTCGGTTTCAAAGTAAGGCACAAAGAGGACGCGCATTTGAGAGTTTTATAAACAACGACGCTGGTTGAAGGTAGAAGCGCTGATATTCTCAAATTCTGGAACTGCGTGTGAACCGTCAACTTGGAATGGTTTGGCTGTTGAGATAGGGTCAGCCGGCTAAACTCGATTGAAGTACGGATTAGGCATCCCCGTTAAGATAGGCCATTTACCCTGATATCATGTGCCCTGGTGGTGGTAAGGTGAGCTCTCATGGGGCGAACGTCAGCTTTTCGAGCCTTTGGTTCCAATTGACAGAGCTCGGAGAATTGGGGCTACCTGGGGGCGGGTTAAGGCTGATACTGAATGCAAACCTGTTTGTACAGTGTGTGTTCGTTGAATGGTACTGAATCGGGATCCACTGGCATGTGCAGTTAGATGAAAGCACGTTCTTGGTATATGCATTCATTTGTGGTACGAGGAAAAGCCTAATTATTTATGTATGTATGAATAGACAACCATCATCAACAACTACATATGTGAAAAGAAAACAGAAATACCATTGCAGAGTGTTGGGCATCAAAACCGAACACCTTGCTGCATGTCAGGTTTAAGGTTGATTCCTTCGTCAATGTTGTAATGACTTTCGACGGCGGTTACACCGGGCGAGGGCATCTATTGGTTCATATATAAGGCGAAAATTCTATGCCTATATATAATTAAGATCTCTCGTTTTCTGTGCTTTCTCCGTGATTTACTTCAGATGTCTCATTTACTGTTCCTTTAGAAAGCTGAACGGGCCCTGCTTCTGGGAATATGTTAAACTCAATGACACTAGCGAAGTTTGGGTGATAGAACAGTTACATCCGCCTTTCGAGAGCCGCCTTCCCTCAATGCACCGCCCTTATATCACAGTAGCGTCGGGTTTTCATATTTCTGGCCTGGCGTTGCTGGTGAGTCGAAACCTTATCACAAGCCATCGCTCTTCCGAAACTGAGAATCATGCAGCAGAATTATTACCGGGCAGCCCGTTCGTCAGTCATAACGGTCCCAAAATGGCATCTGAGAGAGAAACTTTTAACTCATCCTAATGTTTGTGCTGTAATTCCCCGAAGACTCTTCGGGTCACCAACTGATTCTGTGATATTTGTTTTTCTGCATATAAAATCTCTTGTTCGCTCATCTCTCAATGCAGACACAACCTCCCCTCTCCACCTGCCAGATCTGCAGATTCTGCACACACAGGGGGAAGGAACGGATCAACTCGCCTTCTCGTCCAGCATAGCTCGGGGGAGGCCAGATAAGCCAGCCTTGGGGTTGCATGCATTGAGCAGTTCTCCTAAGCAGCTCAGGTTCCCAAGTCTCGACCAATGAGAAGCCGAGCCATCCCACAACACAAATCTCGCGTCACATGGTGGTTCCGCGTTCTGTTCGAGCCTTTTTCGGCTTCAGCGATGGGGGAGGCAGGCTCCACCCACCGACGTAGGTCCCCCCCTCCCTTCTTCCCAGCTCCCCCCCGCTGCGTTCCGCTTCGTCATGAACCGTGACCGGGTAATCGTTTCGCTTCATGCCGTTTAGTTTCTGGTCGGGCGGGGAGGCGGGATGGGGGGGAGGGGCAAGGGGCGAAGATGTGGTCGGGAAAGGGGAGGTTTGCGGAGCTCGTTCGGGTTTTCGTCATTTCGCTTCTCCAAAACCACCCAGCCCAAATCCGACCGAGCCCAACCCAATCCTTCCACCGCCACCCCACCCCACACTGCTGCTGCTGCTGACCTCTTCCCTCCACGCGTCACTCTCCTTTACCTTCCCTCCAGCTCGTTTCCCCCCCACCGCTCTTATACAACACAAAGAGCCAAACCAAACTCATGTCAACGTGTACTGATCTCGTTGCTATTGATTTTTATCATCAACTCATGGCACCTGATGCGTACTAAGATCCATACGCACGACGACAGCGCGGGCTTTAGCGGGAGTAAAGGAGTATCGTTTTTATTACTTTGCAGCGACGGCGATATCAACGCACCCTCAGCCGCAGCGTCGAGTGACGCCGCCTTTTCTGCTTCTGCCGCTCCTTATGGAAAGAGATGGACGCGGCTCGCGCGTTGGCGAAAGTGTCTCCCTTGTAACATCCGCGCCGCCTCTAAGTTTGGGAGATAACGGCTCGTCCTTATCGCAGCAGCACCAGGAGCATGTCGCAACCCGTTTGCCTCGCAACGGTCAAGGCGACGTGGCGGTTACCTGTTCGTCACCGCAACATGCGCCGTATTCCCCGGGAGCTAACACGCACCAACCATCTTCCGCCAACGGCCCGAGACCCCTTCAGCAGGTAACAGCAAATACTCCGCTTCCGGCCGGTAGCGGTGCGAGCTATTCTTCTTCCCTGCCGTGCCACTACTGCATCTTCGTGTCGTTTCCTTCAAATCAGTAGCTTTTTCTCTATTTCGGAATTTCTTTGTCAGAGTCGTCCTCATTTCCTCCCAAATTCAGCCGTGTAAGTATTTGGATTAGTATCCTAGTCTCTTCGACCGTTTTTATCCTCTTTTTTTTTGTTCCTTTTGAGTTAGGTAGTGCGTTCCCGCGTTTAGCGCGAACGCGCATGTCGCCACGTCGTCTCGCGCCCGATGGTAGTCAGGCCCGCGGTGCTTCGCATTCTCGCCACGTCTGAATCCCCGGTTTCATTGCTATCAACTAGCGAGCGCTGGCAATCGTCTGGTTACTCTGGTACAAGTCAGACGAGCGAATGCCTTCCGTGTTTCTCCAGGAACTGCATCATATTGCTGCGGACCGTGCTGCTGCTGCTGCTCCTCTCTCTCTCTCTCTCTCTCTCTCTCTCTCTCTCTCTCTCTCTCTCTCTCTCTCTCTCTCTCTCTCTCTCTCTCTCTCTCTCTCTCTCTCTCTTTCTCTCTGCCTTCCTCTGCTCGTCGTCAGTGCTAGAAATAGTAGGAGCAGCAGTCGTACCTGCCGCGTCCCCTGTTACCACCACCAACCGTGCTTAGTTTCCAGCGTCGTCGCAGCCAGCCGTGCGACTCCCGTTACGTCGCCGTGTTTCGTCTCTGAAACTCGCCTGCCGCAAGTCTCAGCGTGGCCAATAAGCTGATTGCTTTGCTTACCGCCGCTCCGCAAGCGATCGCGGCCGCATTCTCGCTGGTGCGGCGAGCCGTGTAATGTAGTCCCGCGCACTCGGCGCGATCTCGTCTTCTGGCCCTTCCAACCATGGCTCCGCGTGTTTCGAGGCGTCTCAGAAGTAGTTTTGAGGAGCCTCAACGGGCGTATCCGTCATGTTCATCTCCCCTTCCGCCTGTGTTCCCGTCTCGTGTCGTATTACCCCTTCCCCCCGCTCCACATGTCTCGTTCGCAGCCATTGGCGGAGCCGTCGCAGCGCGGGTACGCGACCGGCGGCGACTACGGCCGCGACGGCCACCACTCGCCGCAGCGCAACCAGTCGTCGCACCAGCCGCCGACGCAGCCGTCGCACAAGAATCGCAGCCCGATCGCGCACGCTCGCCACGACGCTTCCCGCCATCCCGACGACGCGCAACCCTCCGCACTTTCGGACCGCGCGGACCCCGACTCCGCACCCGCAAGCCATCCGCTGCCCTTCTTCTTCCCCATGCGCCCCTCCGCGCGCGGTTCCTCTCCGCCTGACGGGCAGGAGCGGGGAGGAGGCGTAAGGGAAGGGGAGCGAGTGGGGTATGGGGTCGAGAATGGGGGACGAGATGAGGGGATGGGTGGAGACGGGGGGCCAAAGGGCGAAGCGGAAGAGTGGGAAGGTAAGGGGGGCGGAAGCGGTGTGAGTGTGGAGAGGGGCTTTGCGTGCTCGAGGCAAGAGGGGAGGAACTGCAGTGATCCTGATAGGAGCGGTGGCAGCGGTGGTGTTGGTGCTGGCAGCGCCGCTGCTGCTGCTGCTGCTGCTGCTGCTGCCACCACTGGCCCCACCACCAGACCTGCTTCCGCTGCCCACGCTGTCAATGCGGCTAATGTTGTCAGCGGGGCCAATTGTGCTTCTGAATCGCCCTTTGCGCCTCCCGCCCCCCCGGGTCCTGCCGCTGCCGCTGCCGCTGCCTCTCCCTGTGCGTCTGCGCCTGCCGCCGTCCCCAGCATGCTCGACATGTCGTTAGGTCTCACCTCCTCCTCGCGCTCCCTGCTCCGCTTGCCCGCTGCGTCTGCCTCTGCCGCCGCTGCTGCTGGTGCTGGTATCAGCTCCCATGCGACAGCCCATGATGCGATTGCCGCTTCGCCCCGTTCCCACGCTGCCGCCGCTGCTGCTGCTGCTCGCAATGCTGCTGGTAGTACTGCGGATGGAGGCGGGGCAGGCGGTGTGAGCAGCGAGGCTGCGCGCCCATCCGCCTTTCCGTTCTCCAAGCTCCCCTGGGCCCCACAACCTCCACAGCAGCACCAGCATTCGCAGCAGCAGCAGCATTCGCAGCAGCAGCAGCATTCGCAGCAGCAGCAGCATTCGCAGCAGCAGCCGCAGCAGCATCAGCCGTCGCACTACGTGCACCAACCACACCAGCTGCAGCAGTATGAAGACAGAGGAGGAGGCGGGGAGGGAGGCGGTGGTGTTGTGACTGTAATGGGGTTGGGCAGTAACGGGGGTGGACATGCACTGAACAGGTGGGTTTGGCGCGGTTCAGAAAGGTGGATGTGCGCTGGTGGATTCTTCCGTTCGTGTCTCTGTCTCTCGCTTGGGTCTTTCACTCACCCTGGCCATCCGTCACTCCATTTGCCTCTCTGTTTTATCCCATTCTGTCGCCTGACATTTCTCGTTCCCTCTCTCTCCCCCATTCTCTCCCCTTCTCCCCCCCCCCTTCTCACCCTCCCTCTCCGCTTGCGTCTTTCCCATTCTCCATTCCCGCACTCTCCTAACCCCTATCACTCCGCCCTCACCCTTCCCCCCTCCCCACACTTTCCCCAACCACAGCACGGACATCACTCCGCTGCACTACCCCTCCGCCTCCCAAATGCACCCATCAGCACCCATCTACACGTCTCCCTCCACTGCCCCTACAACACACCAACACCACCAACACCAGCAACACCAGCAACACCAGCACCACCAACACCAGCAGCAGCAACACCAGCAACACCAGCACCACCAACACCACCAGCAGCAACACCAGCAACACCAGCACCACCAACACCAGCAGCAACACCAGCAGGAGCAGCAGCACCAGCAGCAACACCAGCAGGAGCAGCAGCACCAGCAGCAACACCAGCAGGAGCAGCAGCACCAGCAGCAACACCAGCAGGAGCAGCAGCACCAGCAGCAACACCAGCAGGAGCAGCAGCACCAGCAGCAACACCAGCAGGAGCAGCAGCACCAGCAGCAACACCAGCAGGAGCAGCAGCACCAGCAGCAACACCAGCAGGAGCAGCAGCACCAGCAGCAACACCAGCAGGAGCAGCAGCACCAGCAGCAACACCAGCAGGAGCAGCAGCACCAGCAGCAACACCAGCAGGAGCAGCAGCACCAGCAGCAACACCAGCAGGAGCAGCAGCACCAGCAGCGACACCAGCAGGAGCAGCAGCACCAGCAGCGACACCAGCAGGAGCAGCAGCACCAGCAGCGACACCAGCAGGAGCAGCAGCAGGCGCATGAGGCCTCTCCGCAGCCCCTCCCCCCGCCCCACTCCGCAGCCCTCTCCGCGCCCCCTGTGCCCTCGCCGCTCGCAGCGGCGCCGGGCGGCAGTATGAGCTCCAAGGCGCGCCGCTTTGTGCGCCGCGACGACCTCATCTGGGGCGCATTCTTCTTCTTCACGCACTACTACCGCCCCGCACTCAATGATAAAGCCAAGGTGGGTGGCTGGAGGTGCTCGTGAAGGGGGGGTTGGGGGTGGGGAAGGGCACCTTCTCCTTCACGCACTACTACCGCCCCGCACTCAATGATAAGGCCAAGGTGGGTGGGTTGGGAAGAGGAAGTGCTGTTTTGTTTTGTTGCTTACACTCGGAGTTTTCTTTCTTTGGGGGCTGCTGCTGCTTCTTCTTCACGCACACAACTACCGCCCTGCACGGACATGGGCAGGGCCAAGGTGGGTGGGGTAGGGGGCAGAAAAGGACATGGGCAAGGGGGCAGAAGGGCATGGGTGGTTTGCCAGGTTGGGGTGGAGGAGGGGTCGAGGTCTAGCCTTCAACCTTCTTGGGTCATTAGAGAGAGGGGCAGCAAGTGGCATGGAAGAAAGAAGCAGCAGGTTCAAGCATGACCTCATCCCCCTTCCCTACCCAATTCTTAACCCCTCCACCCATTTCCTCCTTCCCTGCCTCTCGCCCCGACCTCTCGCCCCGACCTCTGCCTCTCCCTTCTGCGTCCCTCCCTTTGTTCTCCTCCCCCACCCTCCCCTCCCCGCTCCCCCCCCTCCCCCCCGCCGTTCCCCTGCACAACAGGCGCGGCTGGTGGGGAGGGAGTGGGTGGGGGCGGTGGAGAAGGCGGATCTGCGGCTGGAGGAGTTCATGGTGCAGCACGACATGGAGAACTGCTACATGTGGGCCTTCCGCGTGCGCCCGCACAACGCCCTGGGCAAGATGCAGCTGCGCTCCTACATGAACGGCCACTCCAGGTGGGTGCTGGCTGGGGGCGAGGGTGGGACAATGTGAAACCGTGTGGGTCAGTGTGCGACCGACAGTGTGTGAGGGTCTGGTTCTGGTTCTGCCCGCACAACGCCCTGGGCAAGATGCAGCTGCGCTCCTACATGAACGGCCACTCCAGGTGGGTGCTGGCTGGGGGCGAGGGTGGGACAATGTGAAACCGTGTGGGTCAGTGTGCGACCGACAGTGTGTGAGGGTCTGGTTCTGGTTCTGCCCGCACAACGCCCTGGGCAAGATGCAGCTGCGCTCCTACATGAACGGCCACTCCAGGTGGGTGCTGGCTGGGGGCGAGGGTGGGACAATGTGAAACCGTGTGGGTCAGTGTGCGACCGACAGTGTGTGAGGGTCTGGTTCTGGTTCTGCCCGCACAACGCCCTGGGCAAGATGCAGCTGCGCTCCTACATGAACGGCCACTCCAGGTGGGTGCTGGCTGGGGGCGAGGGTGGGACAATGTGAAACCGTGTGGGTCAGTGTGCGACCGACAGTGTGTGAGGGTCTGGTTCTGGTTCTGCCCGCACAACGCCCTGGGCAAGATGCAGCTGCGCTCCTACATGAACGGCCACTCCAGGTGGGTGCTGGCTGGGGGCGAGGGTGGGACAATGTGAAACCGTGTGGGTCAGTGTGCGACCGACAGTGTGTGAGGGTCTGGTTCTGGTTCTGCCCGCACAACGCCCTGGGCAAGATGCAGCTGCGCTCCTACATGAACGGCCACTCCAGGTGGGTGCTGGCTGGGGGCGAGGGTGGGACAATGTGAAACCGTGTGGGTCAGTGTGCGACCGACAGTGTGTGAGGGTCTGGTTCTGGTTCTGCCCGCACAACGCCCTGGGCAAGATGCAGCTGCGCTCCTACATGAACGGCCACTCCAGGTGGGTGCTGGCTGGGGGCGAGGGTGGGACAATGTGAAACCGTGTGGGTCAGTGTGCGACCGACAGTGTGTGAGGGTCTGGTTCTGGTTCTGCCCGCACAACGCCCTGGGCAAGATGCAGCTGCGCTCCTACATGAACGGCCACTCCAGGTGGGTGCTGGCTGGGGGCGAGGGTGGGACAATGTGAAACCGTGTGGGTCAGTGTGCGACCGACAGTGTGTGAGGGTCTGGTTCTGGTTCTGCCCGCACAACGCCCTGGGCAAGATGCAGCTGCGCTCCTACATGAACGGCCACTCCAGGTGGGTGCTGGCTGGGGGCGAGGGTGGGACAATGTGAAACCGTGTGGGTCAGTGTGCGACCGACAGTGTGTGAGGGTCTGGTTCTGGTTCTGCCCGCACAACGCCCTGGGCAAGATGCAGCTGCGCTCCTACATGAACGGCCACTCCAGGTGGGTGCTGGCTGGGGGCGAGGGTGGGACAATGTGAAACCGTGTGGGTCAGTGTGCGACCGACAGTGTGTGAGGGTCTGGTTCTGGTTCTGCCCGCACAACGCCCTGGGCAAGATGCAGCTGCGCTCCTACATGAACGGCCACTCCAGGTGGGTGCTGGCTGGGGGCGAGGGTGGGACAATGTGAAACCGTGTGGGTCAGTGTGCGACCGACAGTGTGTGAGGGTCTGGTTCTGGTTCTGCCCGCACAACGCCCTGGGCAAGATGCAGCTGCGCTCCTACATGAACGGCCACTCCAGGTGGGTGCTGGCTGGGGGCGAGGGTGGGACAATGTGAAACCGTGTGGGTCAGTGTGCGACCGACAGTGTGTGAGGGTCTGGTTCTGGTTCTGCCCGCACAACGCCCTGGGCAAGATGCAGCTGCGCTCCTACATGAACGGCCACTCCAGGTGGGTGCTGGCTGGGGGCGAGGGTGGGACAATGTGAAACCGTGTGGGTCAGTGTGCGACCGACAGTGTGTGAGGGTCTGGTTCTGGTTCTGCCCGCACAACGCCCTGGGCAAGATGCAGCTGCGCTCCTACATGAACGGCCACTCCAGGTGGGTGCTGGCTGGGGGCGAGGGTGGGACAATGTGAAACCGTGTGGGTCAGTGTGCGACCGACAGTGTGTGAGGGTCTGGTTCTGGTTCTGCCCGCACAACGCCCTGGGCAAGATGCAGCTGCGCTCCTACATGAACGGCCACTCCAGGTGGGTGCTGGCTGGGGGCGAGGGTGGGACAATGTGAAACCGTGTGGGTCAGTGTGCGACCGACAGTGTGTGAGGGTCTGGTTCTGGTTCTGCCCGCACAACGCCCTGGGCAAGATGCAGCTGCGCTCCTACATGAACGGCCACTCCAGGTGGGTGCTGGCTGGGGGCGAGGGTGGGACAATGTGAAACCGTGTGGGTCAGTGTGCGACCGACAGTGTGTGAGGGTCTGGTTCTGGTTCTGCCCGCACAACGCCCTGGGCAAGATGCAGCTGCGCTCCTACATGAACGGCCACTCCAGGTGGGTGCTGGCTGGGGGCGAGGGTGGGACAATGTGAAACCGTGTGGGTCAGTGTGCGACCGACAGTGTGTGAGGGTCTGGTTCTGGTTCTGCCCGCACAACGCCCTGGGCAAGATGCAGCTGCGCTCCTACATGAACGGCCACTCCAGGTGGGTGCTGGCTGGGGGCGAGGGTGGGACAATGTGAAACCGTGTGGGTCAGTGTGCGACCGACAGTGTGTGAGGGTCTGGTTCTGGTTCTGCCCGCACAACGCCCTGGGCAAGATGCAGCTGCGCTCCTACATGAACGGCCACTCCAGGTGGGTGCTGGCTGGGGGCGAGGGTGGGACAATGTGAAACCGTGTGGGTCAGTGTGCGACCGACAGTGTGTGAGGGTCTGGTTCTGGTTCTGCCCGCACAACGCCCTGGGCAAGATGCAGCTGCGCTCCTACATGAACGGCCACTCCAGGTGGGTGCTGGCTGGGGGCGAGGGTGGGACAATGTGAAACCGTGTGGGTCAGTGTGCGACCGACAGTGTGTGAGGGTCTGGTTCTGGTTCTGCCCGCACAACGCCCTGGGCAAGATGCAGCTGCGCTCCTACATGAACGGCCACTCCAGGTGGGTGCTGGCTGGGGGCGAGGGTGGGACAATGTGAAACCGTGTGGGTCAGTGTGCGACCGACAGTGTGTGAGGGTCTGGTTCTGGTTCTGCCCGCACAACGCCCTGGGCAAGATGCAGCTGCGCTCCTACATGAACGGCCACTCCAGGTGGGTGCTGGCTGGGGGCGAGGGTGGGACAATGTGAAACCGTGTGGGTCAGTGTGCGACCGACAGTGTGTGAGGGTCTGGTTCTGGTTCTGCCCGCACAACGCCCTGGGCAAGATGCAGCTGCGCTCCTACATGAACGGCCACTCCAGGTGGGTGCTGGCTGGGGGCGAGGGTGGGACAATGTGAAACCGTGTGGGTCAGTGTGCGACCGACAGTGTGTGAGGGTCTGGTTCTGGTTCTGCCCGCACAACGCCCTGGGCAAGATGCAGCTGCGCTCCTACATGAACGGCCACTCCAGGTGGGTGCTGGCTGGGGGCGAGGGTGGGACAATGTGAAACCGTGTGGGTCAGTGTGCGACCGACAGTGTGTGAGGGTCTGGTTCTGGTTCTGCCCGCACAACGCCCTGGGCAAGATGCAGCTGCGCTCCTACATGAACGGCCACTCCAGGTGGGTGCTGGCTGGGGGCGAGGGTGGGACAATGTGAAACCGTGTGGGTCAGTGTGCGACCGACAGTGTGTGAGGGTCTGGTTCTGGTTCTGCCCGCACAACGCCCTGGGCAAGATGCAGCTGCGCTCCTACATGAACGGCCACTCCAGGTGGGTGCTGGCTGGGGGCGAGGGTGGGACAATGTGAAACCGTGTGGGTCAGTGTGCGACCGACAGTGTGTGAGGGTCTGGTTCTGGTTCTGCCCGCACAACGCCCTGGGCAAGATGCAGCTGCGCTCCTACATGAACGGCCACTCCAGGTGGGTGCTGGCTGGGGGCGAGGGTGGGACAATGTGAAACCGTGTGGGTCAGTGTGCGACCGACAGTGTGTGAGGGTCTGGTTCTGGTTCTGCCCGCACAACGCCCTGGGCAAGATGCAGCTGCGCTCCTACATGAACGGCCACTCCAGGTGGGTGCTGGCTGGGGGCGAGGGTGGGACAATGTGAAACCGTGTGGGTCAGTGTGCGACCGACAGTGTGTGAGGGTCTGGTTCTGGTTCTGCCCGCACAACGCCCTGGGCAAGATGCAGCTGCGCTCCTACATGAACGGCCACTCCAGGTGGGTGCTGGCTGGGGGCGAGGGTGGGACAATGTGAAACCGTGTGGGTCAGTGTGCGACCGACAGTGTGTGAGGGTCTGGTTCTGGTTCTGCCCGCACAACGCCCTGGGCAAGATGCAGCTGCGCTCCTACATGAACGGCCACTCCAGGTGGGTGCTGGCTGGGGGCGAGGGTGGGACAATGTGAAACCGTGTGGGTCAGTGTGCGACCGACAGTGTGTGAGGGTCTGGTTCTGGTTCTGCCCGCACAACGCCCTGGGCAAGATGCAGCTGCGCTCCTACATGAACGGCCACTCCAGGTGGGTGCTGGCTGGGGGCGAGGGTGGGACAATGTGAAACCGTGTGGGTCAGTGTGCGACCGACAGTGTGTGAGGGTCTGGTTCTGGTTCTGCCCGCACAACGCCCTGGGCAAGATGCAGCTGCGCTCCTACATGAACGGCCACTCCAGGTGGGTGCTGGCTGGGGGCGAGGGTGGGACAATGTGAAACCGTGTGGGTCAGTGTGCGACCGACAGTGTGTGAGGGTCTGGTTCTGGTTCTGCCCGCACAACGCCCTGGGCAAGATGCAGCTGCGCTCCTACATGAACGGCCACTCCAGGTGGGTGCTGGCTGGGGGCGAGGGTGGGACAATGTGAAACCGTGTGGGTCAGTGTGCGACCGACAGTGTGTGAGGGTCTGGTTCTGGTTCTGCCCGCACAACGCCCTGGGCAAGATGCAGCTGCGCTCCTACATGAACGGCCACTCCAGGTGGGTGCTGGCTGGGGGCGAGGGTGGGACAATGTGAAACCGTGTGGGTCAGTGTGCGACCGACAGTGTGTGAGGGTCTGGTTCTGGTTCTGCCCGCACAACGCCCTGGGCAAGATGCAGCTGCGCTCCTACATGAACGGCCACTCCAGGTGGGTGCTGGCTGGGGGCGAGGGTGGGACAATGTGAAACCGTGTGGGTCAGTGTGCGACCGACAGTGTGTGAGGGTCTGGTTCTGGTTCTGCCCGCACAACGCCCTGGGCAAGATGCAGCTGCGCTCCTACATGAACGGCCACTCCAGGTGGGTGCTGGCTGGGGGCGAGGGTGGGACAATGTGAAACCGTGTGGGTCAGTGTGCGACCGACAGTGTGTGAGGGTCTGGTTCTGGTTCTGCCCGCACAACGCCCTGGGCAAGATGCAGCTGCGCTCCTACATGAACGGCCACTCCAGGTGGGTGCTGGCTGGGGGCGAGGGTGGGACAATGTGAAACCGTGTGGGTCAGTGTGCGACCGACAGTGTGTGAGGGTCTGGTTCTGGTTCTGCCCGCACAACGCCCTGGGCAAGATGCAGCTGCGCTCCTACATGAACGGCCACTCCAGGTGGGTGCTGGCTGGGGGCGAGGGTGGGACAATGTGAAACCGTGTGGGTCAGTGTGCGACCGACAGTGTGTGAGGGTCTGGTTCTGGTTCTGCCCGCACAACGCCCTGGGCAAGATGCAGCTGCGCTCCTACATGAACGGCCACTCCAGGTGGGTGCTGGCTGGGGGCGAGGGTGGGACAATGTGAAACCGTGTGGGTCAGTGTGCGACCGACAGTGTGTGAGGGTCTGGTTCTGGTTCTGCCCGCACAACGCCCTGGGCAAGATGCAGCTGCGCTCCTACATGAACGGCCACTCCAGGTGGGTGCTGGCTGGGGGCGAGGGTGGGACAATGTGAAACCGTGTGGGTCAGTGTGCGACCGACAGTGTGTGAGGGTCTGGTTCTGGTTCTGCCCGCACAACGCCCTGGGCAAGATGCAGCTGCGCTCCTACATGAACGGCCACTCCAGGTGGGTGCTGGCTGGGGGCGAGGGTGGGACAATGTGAAACCGTGTGGGTCAGTGTGCGACCGACAGTGTGTGAGGGTCTGGTTCTGGTTCTGCCCGCACAACGCCCTGGGCAAGATGCAGCTGCGCTCCTACATGAACGGCCACTCCAGGTGGGTGCTGGCTGGGGGCGAGGGTGGGACAATGTGAAACCGTGTGGGTCAGTGTGCGACCGACAGTGTGTGAGGGTCTGGTTCTGGTTCTGCCCGCACAACGCCCTGGGCAAGATGCAGCTGCGCTCCTACATGAACGGCCACTCCAGGTGGGTGCTGGCTGGGGGCGAGGGTGGGACAATGTGAAACCGTGTGGGTCAGTGTGCGACCGACAGTGTGTGAGGGTCTGGTTCTGGTTCTGCCCGCACAACGCCCTGGGCAAGATGCAGCTGCGCTCCTACATGAACGGCCACTCCAGGTGGGTGCTGGCTGGGGGCGAGGGTGGGACAATGTGAAACCGTGTGGGTCAGTGTGCGACCGACAGTGTGTGAGGGTCTGGTTCTGGTTCTGCCCGCACAACGCCCTGGGCAAGATGCAGCTGCGCTCCTACATGAACGGCCACTCCAGGTGGGTGCTGGCTGGGGGCGAGGGTGGGACAATGTGAAACCGTGTGGGTCAGTGTGCGACCGACAGTGTGTGAGGGTCTGGTTCTGGTTCTGCCCGCACAACGCCCTGGGCAAGATGCAGCTGCGCTCCTACATGAACGGCCACTCCAGGTGGGTGCTGGCTGGGGGCGAGGGTGGGACAATGTGAAACCGTGTGGGTCAGTGTGCGACCGACAGTGTGTGAGGGTCTGGTTCTGGTTCTGCCCGCACAACGCCCTGGGCAAGATGCAGCTGCGCTCCTACATGAACGGCCACTCCAGGTGGGTGCTGGCTGGGGGCGAGGGTGGGACAATGTGAAACCGTGTGGGTCAGTGTGCGACCGACAGTGTGTGAGGGTCTGGTTCTGGTTCTGCCCGCACAACGCCCTGGGCAAGATGCAGCTGCGCTCCTACATGAACGGCCACTCCAGGTGGGTGCTGGCTGGGGGCGAGGGTGGGACAATGTGAAACCGTGTGGGTCAGTGTGCGACCGACAGTGTGTGAGGGTCTGGTTCTGGTTCTGCCCGCACAACGCCCTGGGCAAGATGCAGCTGCGCTCCTACATGAACGGCCACTCCAGGTGGGTGCTGGCTGGGGGCGAGGGTGGGACAATGTGAAACCGTGTGGGTCAGTGTGCGACCGACAGTGTGTGAGGGTCTGGTTCTGGTTCTGCCCGCACAACGCCCTGGGCAAGATGCAGCTGCGCTCCTACATGAACGGCCACTCCAGGTGGGTGCTGGCTGGGGGCGAGGGTGGGACAATGTGAAACCGTGTGGGTCAGTGTGCGACCGACAGTGTGTGAGGGTCTGGTTCTGGTTCTGCCCGCACAACGCCCTGGGCAAGATGCAGCTGCGCTCCTACATGAACGGCCACTCCAGGTGGGTGCTGGCTGGGGGCGAGGGTGGGACAATGTGAAACCGTGTGGGTCAGTGTGCGACCGACAGTGTGTGAGGGTCTGGTTCTGGTTCTGCCCGCACAACGCCCTGGGCAAGATGCAGCTGCGCTCCTACATGAACGGCCACTCCAGGTGGGTGCTGGCTGGGGGCGAGGGTGGGACAATGTGAAACCGTGTGGGTCAGTGTGCGACCGACAGTGTGTGAGGGTCTGGTTCTGGTTCTGCCCGCACAACGCCCTGGGCAAGATGCAGCTGCGCTCCTACATGAACGGCCACTCCAGGTGGGTGCTGGCTGGGGGCGAGGGTGGGACAATGTGAAACCGTGTGGGTCAGTGTGCGACCGACAGTGTGTGAGGGTCTGGTTCTGGTTCTGCCCGCACAACGCCCTGGGCAAGATGCAGCTGCGCTCCTACATGAACGGCCACTCCAGGTGGGTGCTGGCTGGGGGCGAGGGTGGGACAATGTGAAACCGTGTGGGTCAGTGTGCGACCGACAGTGTGTGAGGGTCTGGTTCTGGTTCTGCCCGCACAACGCCCTGGGCAAGATGCAGCTGCGCTCCTACATGAACGGCCACTCCAGGTGGGTGCTGGCTGGGGGCGAGGGTGGGACAATGTGAAACCGTGTGGGTCAGTGTGCGACCGACAGTGTGTGAGGGTCTGGTTCTGGTTCTGCCCGCACAACGCCCTGGGCAAGATGCAGCTGCGCTCCTACATGAACGGCCACTCCAGGTGGGGAGCTGTGCTGGGTGGGGATGGTGTGCGGCAGTGGGACAGACAGCGTTTGACAGGGTGTGAGGGACTGTGTGGGGTAGCTAGCGTGAGAGGGTCCGGGTTAGGCTGTTTGGAGCAAACGCCCTGGGCGAGATGCAGCTGCGCTCCTACATGAACGGCCACTCCAGGTGGGGAGCTGTGCTGGGTGGGGATGGTGTGCGGCAGTGGGACAGACAGCGTTTGACAGGGTGTGAGGGACTGTGTGGGGTAGCTAGCGTGAGAGGGTCCGGGTTAGGCTGTTTGGAGCAAACGCCCTGGGCGAGATGCAGCTGCGCTCCTACATGAACGGCCACTCCAGGTGGGGAGCTGTGCTGGGTGGGGATGGTGTGCGGCAGTGGGACAGACAGCGTTTGACAGGGTGTGAGGGACTGTGTGGGGTAGCTAGCGTGAGAGGGTCCGGGTTAGGCTGTTTGGAGCAAACGCCCTGGGCGAGATGCAGCTGCGCTCCTACATGAACGGCCACTCCAGGTGGGTAGCTGTGCTGGGTGGGGATGGTGTGCGGCAGTGGGACAGACAGCGTTTGACAGGGTGTGAGGGACTGTGTGGGGTAGCTAGCGTGAGAGGGTCCGGGTTAGGCTGTTTGGAGCAAACGCCCTGGGCGAGATGCAGCTGCGCTCCTACATGAACGGCCACTCCAGGTGGGGAGCTGTGCTGGGTGGGGATGGTGTGCGGCAGTGGGACAGACAGCGTTTGAAAGGGTGTGAGGGACTGTGTGGGGTAGCTAGCGTGAGAGGGTCCGGGTTAGGCTGTTTGGAGCAAACGCCCTGGGCGAGATGCAGCTGCGCTCCTACATGAACGGCCACTCCAGGTGGGGAGCTGTGCTGGGTGGGGATGGTGTGCGGCAGTGGGACAGACAGCGTTTGACAGGGTGAGGGACTGTGTGGGGTAGCTAGCGTGAGAGGGTCCGGGTTAGGCTGTTTGGAGCAAACGCCCTGGGCGAGATGCAGCTGCGCTCCTACATGAACGGCCACTCCAGGTGGGGAGCTGTGCTGGGTGGGGATGGTGTGCGGCAGTGGGACAGACAGCGTTTGACAGGGTGTGAGGGACTGTGTGGGGTAGCTAGCGTGAGAGGGTCCGGGTTAGGCTGTTTGGAGCAAACGCCATGGGCGAGATGCAGCTGCGCTCCTACATGAACGGCCACTCCAGGTGGGGAGCTGTGCTGGGTGGGGATGGTGTGCGGCAGTGGGACAGACAGCGTTTGACAGGGTGTGAGGGACTGTGTGGGGTAGCTAGCGTGAGAGGGTCCGGGTTAGGCTGTTTGGAGCAAACGCCCTGGGCGAGATGCAGCTGCGCTCCTACATGAACGGCCACTCCAGGTGGGGAGCTGTGCTGGGTGGGGATGGTGTGCGGCAGTGGGACAGACAGCGTTTGACAGGGTGTGAGGGACTGTGTGGGGTAGCTAGCGTGAGAGGGTCCGGGTTAGGCTGTTTGGAGCAAACGCCCTGGGCGAGATGCAGCTGCGCTCCTACATGAACGGCCACTCCAGGTGGGTGCTGTGCTGGGTGGGGGATGGTGTGGGGCAGTGTGTGAGGGTCGGGTATGGTTTAGCCGCACAATGCTCCACCTCTAGGAATATGTAGCTGTGCTCTTACATGGTTGGACACTGCAGTGCCGGTAGATCATGGATGTGGGTTCTTAGGTGTCTCTGTGTGGTGCAAACACAAAAAAAATATTCCGTAGAACATTCAGTTCCCCCTTCAGTGTAGTGCTGTTTCTTCCCTCTCATGTTCACCCTTTCGTCTCCCCCCAACTCTCCTTCCCTGCACGCATCCCCCTCCCCCCCCACCCCTTCCCTCCTCCCCGCTGCCACCAGGTTCGGCGAGCCACAGTTCCCATTCAGTGCGGAGAAGGGCTTTGTGCGGTCGCACCGCATGCAGCGCAAGCGCTACAAGGGGCTCTCCAACCCACAGTGCATCCACGGCGTGCAGTTCCTGCGCACGCCCGACCTCTCCTGCGTGCCCCCGCACGAGCGCCAGCGCTGGATTGATCTCACAGGTGTGCTCCTGCTCATTCGGAAGGGGGCATTGCTGCATCTCCCTCTTGGTGCTCGAGCTTTTCCGGTTGCCGGCTGCGTGGTTCTAACTCCATAAGAGATTTTTTTTTTTCTATAGCTTTTGAATCTCCGTTATGTGCAAAGGCTCCTCCCTCCTCCCTCCCCCCTCCTCCCTCCTCCCTCCTCCCTCCTCCCTCCTCCCTCTCCTCTACCTTGCATCTCTTCCCTCGCCTCTCCCCTTCATCTCCCCCCTCCTCTCCTGCCCGTTCACCATCTCTCACCTCGCCCCTCAGGCCGCGAGTGGGGCTTTGTGTTGACCAACGAAGCAGACGAGTTCAGTGACTGGCGCATATCCTCCCTCTCCCAAGACACCACCACCGCCACCGCTGCTGCTTCCGCTGGTGCTGCGGGCACTGCTGCTGCCTCTGGTGCTGCTGCCACCTCTGCTGTTTCGGCACCGGAGCAAGAGGACTCGCAGTCGCACCAGTCACTGTCAGATGTTAAGACGTCAGCAGGCACGGCGCTACTAGGAAAACGGTGGCAGGAGCAGCAGCAGCAGCAGCAACGAGAACGGCAGCAGAAGCAGCAGCAACAGCAAGAGGAACAGAAACATCAACAGCAGCAGCACCAGCAGCAGCAGCACCAGCAGCAGCAGCGCCAGCAGCAGCAACAACAACAGCAGCAGCAACAGCAACAGCAGCAGCAGCGGCCCCCGTTGTCCCATCCACCTTGCTCCAACGCTTCTCCTGCTTATCCCTCCACAAGCCTTCCTGTGCCCATTTCAGGGCCGCTCTGGGCCCCTCAGGGACCAGGAGAGGGCCGAGGAGGGGGCTGGGTCCGAGACGGCAGGGAGGCGGAGCTGTTGCGAGGAGTGGAAAGGGGTGAAGCGCGGTTGGAGGAGAGGGGGAGGCGAGGGGGGGAAGGGGACGGAGCGGCGTCTAGGGGTGCGGGACTTGGTGTGTTTTCTGATGGGCCCCCGACAACTACATTGAGTCTAGCGGATTCTGTGGGTGAAGGGAGGGAGGAGTGGAGGGGAGGAGGTGGGAGAGTGAGGGTGGAGGAGGATGAGAGGGGGCTTGGAGGGCGGTCGAGTAAGAGGAGTCGGGGGGTAGGGGATCTGGAGATTAGGGCTGTGCGGGATGATAGTGGGAGCAGCGGGGGAGGGAGAGGTGAAAGGGGGGAAGGAAGAGGAGGAGGAAGAGTAGTAGTAGGAGGAGGAGGAGGTAGAGGGGAAGGAGGAGGAGGAGGAGGAGGAGGAGGAGGAGGAGGAGGAGGAGGAGGAGGAGGAGGAGGAGGAGGAGGAGGAGGAGGAGGAGGAGGAGGAGGAGGTAGAGGGGAAGGAGGGGGAGGAAGGGAAGGAGGAGGAGGAAGAGGAGGGGCAAGGGTGCAGGTGCAAGGGGATGCAAAAGGGTTTGGGGACCTATTAGGCCTGGCACATGGAGGAGGAGGAGCGAGGAACAGAGAGGACATGGAGGTGGAGGTATCAAAGGAGGGGTCGCCACAGGAGCAGTCAGAGGAGCAGATCGTGCAGCCGCCCTACTGGCTCTCCGAGTGCTATGGCGTGCTCACCCAGGTGCGACCTCCCCCAGGTGTGACCTCCCCCAGGTGTGACCTCTCCCCCAGGTGCTACGTCCCCCAGGTGTGAACTCTACTTGGGGCGATCACCCCCAGGTGCATGCTCTAGCTGCGTGCTCTTGCGGTGCAAGGGTGCTGAACCTGCCACCATACCACGGTACTAGCTGGTCGTTGCTCTCTCCCCTCCCCTGCCTTGCCTTGGGGAAAAGCTCAATGCAGCTTCCTTACGTACCTTGCTTCTCCATACTCCATCCCTCCCCTCCCCTCTCCGTCCCTTTCCTCCCCTCCCACACCCCCCTCAGTTCCATTGCCCCTTCCGTCATCCCCTCATCCGTCCCCGTTGCCCCCTCGCTCCTCCCGTCCGTCCCCTCCCCCCATGCCTCAGGTGTCGGGCCCTGTGACGTGTGCCAAGACACTTTACGAGGATGACTTGTGAATCAACTCAGAAGTCCCCCCTTCCATCCCCCCCTCCATCCCCCCCCCCCCCCCACTTTCCCCCTCAGGTGTCAGGCCCTGTAACGTGTGCCAAGACACTTTACGAGGATGCCACTTCATTCCTTATCCTCGTCAGCTTGCCATTTGCTGACCTGTCCAAGCTCCGGGTGACGTGGCGCAACTCCCTCTCCCATGGCATTGTCAAGGTAAGGGGGGGGGGGAGTGGGGAGTGGGGAGTGGGGAGTGGGGAGGTGAGGGGCAAGAGTGGAATGAAGAGGTGGCAGGGAAAGAGGTGAAAGGTGATTCCTGTGGAGGTGTGCCAGTGTGCAGGTGTGCCAGTGTGCAGGTGTGCCAGTGTGCAGGGAGTTGTGAAAGGATGGCACTTGTGCTAGATGAATGCTACAATGGAAGGTGCTCAAGCGTAAACAGGCCTTCTCCGTTCACTTCACAGCTCTACAACTCTATTCACTTCCCAGTCAGCAGCATTTTCACTCGAGGTTCGTCTCTCACACCTCTCCCCCCAAGAGCACCAAGCATTCTCTCCCCCTCTCTTCTCCTCCCCGTCCCCGTCCCCCTCCCCATTCCTCCTTTCAGGTGCAGTCCGCCTTATCCATGCGCCAGCCGTTGCTGATCCGCTGGGACCCTCACCTTCCACCTCAACGACCCGCACCCAGAGCGACTTTTGACTCGACTCAAAAGTCACCCTGCTCCTCCCCTTCCCTTCCTCCCCTCTCCCTCCTCCCCTCCCCCTCCTCTCCCCTTCCTTTCAGGTGCAATGCGCCTCCTCCATGCGCCAGCCGTCCGTAATCCGCTGGGACCGGGCCTTCCACCTCACAGACCCGCAGAGCGACTTTTGATTCGACTCAAAGTCACCCCGTTCCTCCCCCCCCCGCCTCTTCCCCCCCTCCCTCAGGTGCAGTGCGCCTCCTCCATGCGACAGCCGTCCCTAATCCGCTGGGATCGAGCCTTCCACCTCACCGACCCGCACCCAGAGCACTGCCCTCCAGGGGAGTTCGTGCGCGAGATCGTGCTCCCCTCCAGGATCCCCGACAGTGCTGACGTCAAGGCTTTCTTCTCCGATAGCGGTGGAGGCGTGGAGATTCTGGTGCCCAAGTTGGTGCCTGTGAGCCAGTACCACGAGCGGGAGGTGCGGGTGTTTCTCCCTCCCAAAGCGGCAAGCTGAGGCGAATATCAAGTCTGATGGCGGCGGAGGCGTGGAGATTCGGGTGCCTAGCCTGTGAGCCAGTATCGCGAGTTTTGCGGCGCCTCAAAAGTCTGGCTGTTAACCACAGTACCCTGAGCAGGACTTGCGCTAGCTTCTGCCGGCCAAGGCAGTGAGCTAGAGCTGCGTGGGTTGAGTGCGGTGTGCATGGGAGCTGCAGGGGTGTTGGACTTTGTGGCTGCTTGTGGCTGGTTTGTCAGAGGGTGGCTTCTGTCTTGCTGCTGCTTATGGGTGTTAGGTACAGGGAGGCGATGGGGAGAGATAGGGAGGAGTGCAGAGGAATGGGGAGAGAAGGGCTGCGAAAAGCCGAGTGGGTGTTTCTGTGTGCCGGTTCTGCTGCATGGGGAGTGCGCAAGCGTTATAGTGTAGGAGTGTGTAGTGTAGTGTAAGCGTGGAAGAGAAAAGCGTCCATCCAGAGTCCATGGCATGTGCATTGTGCATTGTGCATTGCATGGCTGGCCGCAGTGCTGCCGCTTCGCTTCAACCCCTGTGCCTGTGAGCCCCCGAGGGTTGGCAGGGAGGGTTTGCAGCTGTATGGGAAACACTCTTGACTTGAGGATTCTCAGCAGTGCCTGCAGCACCACAGCCAGCCAGTCAGCCTTGTGCATTGGCATTTGGGGGTGGGCATTTTGGCAATGTGGGCGCAAGGGAGGGTGTAAATGAAAGGTGGTTCTTTTTTTGTTGTGTTTAATCAGTTCAGTTGCCTTTTTAGTATTCAATAGCCAATGTTTCTCCCAAATAGCATTGCTAGGGTTTAGGGACAAAGCGATTTGAAAGGATGATTGATTTGGTAGCAATATACATGATACTAAACTCCGCAATGGACATCGTCTGCAATATACCGGGATAAACTCCTGTGGTAACTGGCAGGGCAATACACAACACCTAAATGCACACCCCTTCCATGTGCCTGCCTGCCTGCCTGCCTGCCACGCCTGCCTGCCTGCCTGCCTGTCGCGCCTGCCCTGCCTGCGCTGCCACTGCTGCTACTGCTGCTCCTTCTGTTACTACTGCTAGGCTCTTACTGCTGCTGCTACTGCTACTACTGCTACTGCTGCTACTGGCGGTGGCCAGATGCAGCTCCAGCGACGTCCGCGTGAGTCTCTCACGCCCCAGCAGCTTCATGAGTGGTACGCTAGTTGGGGTTGTCGCGGTAGCCGTCGTGGCTGTCGCCCTGGAGCTCGTCAGTCGGGAGCGTCTGGCAGTGGCCAGCTGCAGCTGCAGCGGCGTCCGCGCGAGACACTTACGCCCCAGCAGCTTCGTGAGTGGGCTCAGAGTAGAGGGTCTTTGAGTACCGTTCGCTGCCCGTACGTCATTCGCACAGGTGATCGGGCTGGTCAGGCTTGCGGGACGCCTGGTCACACACAGTCCCGCTGCTTCGCCCGTCTGAGCGACGCCTGGCGTACCGAGTTTGGCGACGAGGCTGAGCTCCCCACCTGGCTGGAGCTGCTTGGACAGAGGGTAGATATCTTTGCTCTTGACTATGATGCTATTCTCACTGCCATGTATGCATTGCCTACTAGTGCTGACCGTGCCTGTTACCTGTGCGTACCGCCTGACCCAGGTATAGAGCCTGCTGCTCTAGGTGCTGGTGAGGCTGCTGCTCTAGGTGCTAGTGCGTCCCCTGCTCTAGGTGCTGGTGAGGCTGCTGCTCCAGGTGCTGGTGAGTCTGCTCTCTCTGGTACTGCGCCTGCTGAGGCCTTGTACACCTTCACACTTGACTCCGGTGCTTCTCGCTCCTTCTTTCGCGACAACACCACCCTCACGCCGCTCAGTCGGCCGGTTGCAGTCTCCCTGGCAGACCCTTCTGGGGGTCCAGTCCGTGCGACCTCCACCACTGTCCTCCCTTGTCCTGCTGTCCCGTCCGGCACACTGTCGGGTCTTTACCTCCCCTCGTTCTCTACGAACTTGGTGGCGGGTTCTGCGCTCCAGGACGCGGGTGTTCACCAGTTCACCCCTGCCTACGAGCGTGTGACACACTGCACGTGTGCTCAGACGGGTCGTCACCTGGCTACCTTCACTCGGCAGCCGGGGTCGGGCCTGTACACACTGACCACTGAGTCCCCTCAGGTAGCTGCGTCTGCGTTAGGTCAGCTAGCGGCCCCCTGCTCGTGTCGCGCCTTGTCGCATCAGACCCTCCTTTGGCACCACCGCCTTGGTCACCCCTCGGTGCAGCGCCTTCGTAGCATGCACCGCCGTGTCCTTGTCTCTGGTCTTCCTAGGGTTCTCCCTCCCCTCCCACCCTCGCCTGCTCCTCCCTGTCTTCCCTGTGTCGAGGGGCGGCAGCGCGCCGCTCCTCATTCCTCCTCGTTCCCTCCCATAGAGGATCCCCTGCAGACTCTCCACCTGGACGTGTGGGGCCCAGCCCGCGTCCGTGGACAGGGCCACGAGCGGTACTTCCTGCTGGTCGTCGACGACTACATGCGTTACACCACGGTCTTCCCCTTGCAGCGCAAGGGGGAGGTCCCTGATGTTTTGATCCCCTGGATCCGCGCTGTTCGTCTCCAGCTCCGCGAGCGGTTGCAGTCGGACTTTCCTGTCCTGCGTCTGCACTCTGACAGAGGTGGTGAGTTCTCCTCAGACCTCTTGGCAGCCTTCTGTGCGGAGCACGGCATCCGCCAGACGTTCACGCTTCCGGCCTCTCCGCAGCAGAATGGGGTTGCTGAGCGCCGCATTGGCTTGGTCATGGAGGTCGCTCGTACCTCCATGATCCATGCGGCTGCCCCCCAGTTTCTGTGGCCGTTTGCGGTCCGGTACGCCGCGCATCAGCTCAACCTCTGCCGTGTCTCCTTGCCGGAGACCTCGCCCACACTGCTGTGGACGGGGAAGGTTGGCGATTCGTCGCGTTTCCGGGTCTGGGGTGCTCGTGCCTTTGTCCGCGATACCTCCGCGGACAAGCTCTCCGCCCGCGCTGTTCCATGTGTCTTCCTTGGCTTTGTCCTTGAAGTGCCTGGTTGGCAGTTTTACCACCCCACCTCGCGCCGTGTCTTCCCCTCTCAGGACGTCACGTTCGACGAGTCGGTTCCCTTTTACCGTCTCTTCCCCTACCGTACTGCCCCTCTCCCCCCCCCGCCGCTCTTCCTCGCTCCAGGTGCTCCCCAGGTAGACCCCCTCCCCGCTCCCGGTCCTGCTCCTTCAGGTGTGTCTTAGGTAGACCCTCCTCCCTTGACTGCGCCGGTTGAGGTCACTGGTGACTCAGGTCCTGCTGAGGGTGGTCCTGCTCGGGGTGCTGCTTCTGGGGTTGCGGAGCCTGGGGGTGCTGAGCCTGGGGGTGCGGAGACTGGAGGTGCTGAGCCTGGGGGTACTGAGTCTGGGGGTGCTGCACCTGGGGGCGCTGAGGCGTCTGGTGAGCAGTCTCCCTGGAGCGGCCGTCTCCGTAGTCGCTCCGCTGGTGCCTCGCCGCTGCACTCTCGTCGTCGACTCCCTCTCTCCCCACAGCAGCTGCTTGAGTGGTACGTTGGCCGTCAGGGTCGCGCTGCTGGAGCTAGGGGCCCTGCTGCGGGAGGCGCTGGAGCTGGTGACTCTGCTACTGGAGTTGTTTCTGCTAGAGGTTCTGGAGCTGCTGAGGGTGCTGGAGCTGGAGGTTCTGGAGCTGCTGGAGGTGCTGGCGCTGGTGGCGCTGGAGCTGGAGGTGCTGGCGCTGGTGGCGCTGGAGCTGGAGGTTCTGGAGCTGCTGAGGGTGCTGGCGCTGGAGGTTCTGGAGCTGCTGCGGGTGCTGGCGCTGAGGGTTCTGAGTCTGCTGTTACGCGGTCTCCTTGGAGTAGCCGCCTTCGTCCGCGTGTGCCTCTCACCTCACAGCAGCTGCACGACTGGTACGGTCGCCGTCAGGGTCGCGCTTCTGGAGCTCGCGGCTCTTCCGCTGGAGGTACTTCTGCTGACGTCACTGGAGCTGGGAGTGGTGCTGGTCCCGGAGGTGCTCGTACTGGAGGTACTGGAGCTGCTGGGGCTGGAGGTGCTGAGCCTGAGGGTGCTACTGCTGGAGACCCTGGGTCTGGGGGTGCTGCTGCTGGAGACACGGAGGCTGGAGACCCTGGGACTGGAGGTGCCGGTTCTGGGGGTGATGCTGTTGGTGGAGCTGGTCCTGGAGGAGCTGGCGCTGAGGGTTCTGGAGCTGCTGGAGGTGCTGGAGCTGCTGGGGGTACTGGAGCTGCTGGTGCTGGTGTCACTGCACAGCCGCGCCTGTTCTTCGCTCCGCCGTCTCCGTCGTCTCAGCCACTGCCTGACTCTGTGCTTCGCCATGTTCTTAGTCTCCCTTCGTCTACTGGTCTTCCGTTACAGCCTGGCTCACGGCTGCCTGCTCCTTCTCCTTACACTGAGCAGACAGGGGGTCTTACTGAGCGTCGTGAGCCTGCGTCGCGTCCTGTCTCGCCTGTCCGTTCTGGTAGTTCCGGTCGTCGTGTTCCTCGTCCGCGTCAGCCGGCTGTCCCCGACACCCACCTCGTAGTCCGTTGTCCTTCCTCTCCCCCGCAGCGTGTTCCTCTGCCGTCTCCTCCTGCGTCTTCTCTGCCTGTCGTTGCGGACCTTGAGTCTGACCGGTTTCGTGCTGAGCACCCTACTGTCACGCGTCTGCTAGCCACAGTTGTCACTGACCCGTCGTTTGAGTCTGCTGCTGCGTCTGCCTTAGTCGCTGAGCTTGTTGACTTTTCTGCTGCCTGTCGTCTAGACTACGCTGCTAGTCTTGTTGCTGAGTCTGAGTCTGTCTGTCCTCCGTCCGTCGGGGGTGAGTGTGCTCTTGGCACGGACGTCCTTGAGGACAGACAGGAGGACCTTGAGTGTCTTGCAGCCGCTGCGCCTCATCTCGTGTCCATGCTGCTTGCCCCTGAGGGAGACCCGGATGCTCCAGACATCCCGACCCCGCGCTCTTACGCTGAGGCGATCGCGGGTGAGTACTCCTCTCAGTGGCAGACAGCCATGGACACAGAGATGGCATCCTGGAAGTCCACAGGCACTTACGTTGACGA